CGGTGGGCCTCATATATAACATAAGACTTCTACGGTAAGTTAAGAGTATAACTTCCTGATTTATATATTTATTTAAATTTTATTTTTTAAATTTAAATTATATGAAATTAAGTTTAAGTTTTGATCTATGACACTCAAGGCTTGATTTATCGCTCAACATTGCACTAGGTTAAAGTTTTCTTGAACTTTTCTTTTCAAAAATATAAAATGAAATTTTTTAATATTTTATTAAAAATTTAAGTAAATTTTATTTTATATTATGTTCAATTAAATTTATATTTTATTTTAGATCATATAGATCTTTATCATTAACGTTTGATTAACATTCATTAATTAAAATATTATTTTTTATTTTTATATTTATGTGACATTAACATAGATAATAAAAATATAACATGATCAAGTTATCATGCCACATTAATATGTAATACTACTATTTACTATAATATGTTAATATATCATCTCAACACCACGTAATATAAAAAAAAATAACGTTTTCACTAATATAATTAATTAACTAACTGTTAGTAACGAGGGTTTATTTAATCAAAATAAAAATATAAAAACTTGATTGAAAACAATAGAACAATAAAGGTTTGCTTGAATTCTTTTGAATAGTTCATTTTAAGTGTTAACATGGAATTGTCCAATATGAGATTGTCATATAAAATTTATTATTACCAAATGAAAAGAGGCTTAAACTATCCAAACATACCATAAATATAAAATTTATTTAGAGCTTTTGTGTTGTTAATGGAAAATTAATGGTTTTAGATGGGACTGAAAAAGAAACATATCAAAAATATGAATAAATTTTTAAGATTTAAGGAAAAAGTGTTATGAGAGAAAAATTAAATTCATCTACTCCTTAATTTAAAGCAGTAAAAATATTATCAAATAGATAAAAAATGTTAAGGTTTGGTCAATAAGAACATGTCATGTCAACATAAATAATGAAAAAATGTTAATGTGATTAACATTAGACTGATATTATCAATTTTTAAAAATACACAGATTCAATTTTTATAAATTATTATATAAAAACTAAATCCACCAATAATTGTATAATTTTACCTTTTAAATATTATGTCAATATTTTTATATTAAAAATTTGATATTTGTTTGCATTAATAAATTAATTAACCTATGATACACTTTCACGAATGCATAGGACCACCATAACATATTAGATTGATTAGTTAAATATTAAAATTAAAAATTTTAAATTACTTTGATTTGATTTAAACGATAAGAGTGAGGAACGTTTAGACCTATAAATTTTAGGTTTGATTCTTGCACTTAAGAAAAATTGAAATTATAAAATGGAGGAATTTGTTAGGGTAGTGTGATCAATCAGCTAGGCCGAGCCAATGAAACTGTTGCAACTCTCTTGAGAATGGAGAAGGATTAGCATTCAACATACAGAGTCTTGCTGGAACTCACACTGCTTAATTGCTTGCTGGAACTCACACTGCTTAATTGCTTATTACATATCACCGAAGAATGAAGTTTGACAGATTTGGATATGTTTGAATTGACCTTTTTATGCATTTACCATCCACACAACATACAAACATCATCTTCAAACAGGTCCTATCTCCATTACTTGTACAACTGTTTTCCTTGCCTTCTAGGTTTTGTTCTCACAGATCAAAACAGAACTTCCCTTCTACATGTCCATTCTAGCACCAGATAGCCAAATACAACAGTATAGTGATCTTATGCATCTATCATGAAACATGGATTTTGAACTTCTCCTGGTAGCAGGAGCTTCAGGCACCCAGACTATTTACAGCTGGGGAGAGACCTAAGACTGCAGAACCAATTGCTTCTCCGTCCTCAGACTATATGAGATTGGTCTCATCCCATTTCCTGTTCCTGCTTCCATTTCTCTTGCGTTGGTATTATAACGTCTCCACCATGGCTGTGCATTCTCTCCATTTATTTGAGCAGACCCTTTGTCCGGTGTGTAACCAAACTTGTTCTGAGATTGAGCAATCTCCCAAGGCTGTTCAAACCACAAACTCTAAATAAAAGAGGGAAGAAGGCAAAACTAACAGAAAGAGAACAATTCTGTTGTATTAAGGAAGACTTTTACCCCGGTTCACTAGCAGTTGTTTTAATTCCCCACATACATTGTGCTCAAATAAATTTCACACTAAATTGGTAAAGAGCAACAAGAAAGGTAAAAAATAAAATACCAACTTCTCCTCAGAATGGATTACCTTAATTCTTGGAGTTATACGAGGATTTGGTAGTGGTTGATCAGGATTTGGAGGTGAATCATCAATATCCTGAAATACAAAATAAAAAAATATAGCATTGAAATCAACCCAATTCTTTTATCAGGAACCCATTGGTGGGGAGTTGGTATAAGTCATTGCTTACTTTTATTCCAGGAGGCTTCTCCCCTCTTTGTATCATAGCCAAGATCTGAAAAATTTACTGATTTTAGTCCTAGAAGACATGAGACAGCTAAACTAGAGAAAGGAACTGTGTTGTTATTACTGGCAGGGCCTACATGCATAGTTCAATTGCACCTCCTTCCACAAGCCATTTATAAACTCACTCTCCAAAGAAAACATTCACCATACTATAGCAATCATATACTCATTCTTTTCTAGTCTATAAATCTCAGAATGGACACAAAAGTGAACTGACTTTAGTGTTGCATTCTTTCACCTATCTAATACTAAGGAAAGTAAATTTAATCATCAAAGAGCTACAATGACATTTAACAATATGGCAAAAAGGACTGTTATATAGCCCTTATGAACCACACTAGAAACAAACAAACAAAAAAAAAAACAGAAAGGAGAAATTACCTCCATATAGGACTTTGGATGCTGGCCAGCAGAGGTTCTCAGAGGTGTAGATGAAGGCCTAACTGTCGAAGAAATCCAATCATCAGAGCAAACATACAGGTGATACGAAATACTAAGCCCAAATGAAAGAATAGACAAGAAGGGAAAACATAAAACTGAGAATAGCTCTGAAAGGCACCTGAACTATCAAAATTTGATATGCCACTTGGTTTAAATTTCTGAATGGAAAAGGAAGAATCAAATTCATCAGAACTGGGATGTTTAAGTTAGACTTCAGTGACATCATTTTGGATTTTTCAAGCAGTAATCAAAAACAATCCTTGTTAATTTACCGTTGAATTTGAAACACAGTTTCCAGGGTAATCTGTGTGTAAAATAGAGGTTTCTGGCAGCTTGCTATCAAGTCCTGATTATTTCAAGGAAGCAAAAGGAATTCATGACAAAATTCAAAACATTGTTACACACCTAAGACTAGAAGACAGCTGAAACATACTTAATATCTACACAGTAACATCAGTGGTAAAAAAAGAAATTAATCTAGTAATGAAGTATTAGAGGGAATTTTCTAAGTTCCAAACATTCTAATGTTCTATCCCACAAAGTGTGTGTCTTCTGAGCAGTTTGTATACTTGTGATTCTAGTCCAAATCAGCTGCCACCACTGTAGTTTTCACATTCAGATGTTCATGCGTTAACATGGCCATTTTTTTAACTTATAAACTTTCCAATAAATTCAATTTCAAGTGGCAGAACACAAGTTTATGTTTCACCCTGCCATGTTAAATAACCGAAATTAACATAAAACTAAAACAAAAAATTGCCTGGACAAGCTACAATAATTCTTAAATCCTAAAGATGAAATCAATAAGATTTCTGACAGCTCAGTTGTCAGAAGACCGGATTTTCAAAAAAAGGCAAATCTACTATTTATTGGAAGTCATTAACAAATCCTACTAAAAGTGAATGCATCACAAGAACATCCCAACTTACCATTTCTAAATACTGATGAGGAGTCACAAGCCTCCTGATGAGGACATTGTGTAATACAATGATTATAGGGTTCCACTCCAAAAATAAGGCCTACACCTTAAGAGTAAGATATTGCACTTATCTTATTATTATTCCAAAGATTTGGTAACATATCCAATTTACAGCTTTGTCATTATGTTGATTTTGAAAAAACATAGTAAAGGTCCTATGATGTTTGGAAAGAATATTGCACAAACAAAAATCTTTTTTTTTTTTCTTTTTTTATGAAAGGAAATTACATTGCATGAAACTCTCGAATTAGTTAGAAACAGATAAATAATTAGTTAGAAACATACAGACAGCAAGAATAATTATAGAAGCATTTACAATTGTTCTGGATGCTGGAGCAAAAGAAAATAGCAATTTCTAAACAATAGCACATTGAAATCCATGGATCAGAAAATTATAACTAAAACAGTAGTAAGTGATCATAGAAAAACATATATAGATCCCAGAATTTAAATAAATAAAAAAAGAAATAAATGTAAATATAGATTCAAAAGTTGCACATATTAAACAATATGGCCTACCATTTTGTGATGCATGCTGAATGCACTGCTCTTGGAGTTTGCGTATCGCAGCCTCCCTAGTACCCTCCAATCTCCGTATTGTTGTACTAATTGACCTCAGTTCTGCTACATGGTTGCCTAAACATCGTACTAAAACATCAAGGTGTCTCCCCTCTAACAAGTGATAAAATGAGTGCCATTAATTGTTAAAGATAAGTAATAGTGTAAAACATATAAATATTGGAGAGGGGAAGAGGGAGACGGAGAGAAAGAGAACCTGTTACAAACACTCATATGTAAGCATCCTATGGATATGGCTACAAGATAAAGACCAAAGCATCTTTAGATAAAACACACCTTCTTTCTTTGACTGCAATATTTCCAGACTGGCTTTTGCAGCATTGACAGAAGCAGCTGCAGCTGCCTTTGCAGCTTCTATTGCTTCAGACAAACTTAGTTTTGAGTTTCTTCCCTTGTCATCATCCTCTTCTAAAACAACCTTGCAGATCCAGGACTTCAACCTGGGTAAAAAGAATTTCTAAACAGGGGATAGACCATCAAATGCGGGAATTATACTAACATCCTTGGACAAAAAAAACCATTCAGAGAATCTATTTACACAAACTGGCAATGCAAACTTCTTTTAATTACCTTTAGGATCATGGAAGTCCCAGCACCAGATAAAATAAGTAGCACTAGAGAAAAAATAGCATTTGACCAGGAAAACCTGGATGGTGGAGAAGCTGTAAGCATGGATGCAGCCAAAGGTTGAGAGGATTGTTCTGTGTCTTGTAGCTGAAAACTGGCAAAAGGATTTGATTGCACATCTGTTCTTCATAAAAGATGAAAAACATCAAGCAAAACGTGTTTGTGATCAGGCTATCATTATTTTCAGGCATTCAAGGGTATGCAACTACTATCTATATTGTTGGAACTAAGAAGTTTGTTAAAAACATAAAATTATATTGTGGATGAAAAATGTTGACATCAAAGCCATCGTTACATTAAGAACACCCAAATATTAGTCAAAAGACTTAAAAGATGTGTCACTTGTTACCTTGATTTGAGTTAATGTCCTGTCCAAATGTTAGACTTGAAGGTGTATCCTTCAATTTGCAAACAACAGGGAAAAAGAATCACAAATTAAAAGAAAAAACTTGCAGAGAATAATTATGAAACAAAAAGATCAATGTCCTCACAGGAACACGATGAAAGGCTTCATCTATCTCATCGCTTGTAAGGCCCTTCTTCTCAAGGAAGGAACGCCTGTAGCTGACTGGAGCTCTTCCTACGGTTGGGTGTAATAGAAACTTAGCAGCCATTTCCACTAGCTCCTCCCTCATCGCTTCAGAGTTCAAAAATACAGAATTCTTTGAAGTGTCTCTCCCTTCAAATTATTACCAACCTCTATAAGTGATCCACATTGAATATTAAAAACCCAAAATAAATTTGTGAACTCTATTGCAAAATCTTGCATTCTTAATTAGCTATCATTACGGGAACTTGCATATGCGCATTGCATCACATCTAAGTCAAACCAGTAGCCAATTCAATCTCAACTAGCTTAATAACATATAACTACAATTCTTTATTTATTTAACTGGCAATGCTAAACTACCAACTTTGCAAGAGCAAGGCAAATATCTAAATTTCCACGATTTTCATCAATATAAGAACCAAATAAGAAAAAAAAACGAAATATCCATTTTAGAATATGATGAGCTGATGATTCTAAAACAACTTACATGAATTATATAATAATTTATTAACCAAGAACAGAGAAATTCTTTTTCTTGTCTGTTTTGGATAATTAAACAAATAAACTTCTTAAAATCAACCTCAACCCATAACCGAAAGAAAAGAAACGTTAAACAAAAAAGGGAAACGTAAGCTAGGAAATGTTCTTACCGTTCCTTCCACAAAACAAAACTGGTGAAGTACTCTTATTCGTCCATGCTTGAACTTTTTACAGGTGATCACATGTATAAGAGAAGAGGGAGAGGATTTGTAGTGAAAAACAGAGAGCGGTCAATTGTAAAAGCAGAGATCATTTTAGACTTAGAAGAGGGACAACGATTTGATCAGACGTGGCTGACAGCAAATATTCATCTCGTCTTGTAAGACTTAATCTTGGGCTGAATTTTGACGAGCCTGCCTATTAGTTTTAACTTACTTCAATTAAAGCGCGGCAAATGGTTGTTGACCATTTTGAGCCATGGCCCAAAGCTCATCAAAGACATGATTGGGCTTATTCTTAGGTTTGTAGCTAAACTAGAAAACAAATTGGCCCAAATCATCAATTCTGATAAATTTACAAATTTAAATATGCTATGAATATCTATGTGTGAATATCCGTTATGTCATAGTTTAAGAGCTCAGATTAGGCCATATAACCGAGACAAGCCAAACAGCTCAATAGGTTGAATATAGGAACGTAATTTGATTTTAACTCTTATATTTGATTATATATATTTAAATTTAGATGCAAATTAGATTAGATTAGATTAAAATTTAGATTTAATCCATCCAAATCAAATCGCTTAGCATTATTTTATCTTATAAATTCTAAAATATTCTAAATTTATTAATACTTTTCTCTCATACTTGTTCTATCATGTTATATTCATAACACTTTATCAATATAACTCTCGAATCTCTCAAGTTTTGGTATCATTTAGTTTTCATTATCATCTCAAAGTCAAAGTTCCATGTTTTCAGGCTTCAAAAAAATATTTCAATGGTTGATTTTTAATATTTGGTTTTAACAAATTAGATAAGTGAATTAATATTTCTTCAGTGTTTTCATTCTTGAAAATCAGCCTTAATGTGAATTTTGCTACCATGAAATATTTATTATATTTTGTCTCTTGATTTATTAAATCAAGTTGAGAATGAAAATATATATAATTATACATGATATCTTTGTTTTAGTTTTGAAAAATGATTTTTTCAATATATGATTTTTTTTGTTGAATTTTGACTATGATTTTACTCAGCATATGTAAACCTATCTTTGATACTAGGAGATTTTACATAAGACATTTTGAATTGAACATATGAAATTGACTTTGTATGATATTTAACTTTGCATTATATCTATTTTTGTAATAAGTAGAAAATACTATCCTTTGGGTAATCTGAAACATATTTTGTTTTGGATTTCATGTCTTTCTGTGGTTGAGCAAAATAACGAGTTATTAATGAAAAATCTTGAACTTTGTTTATTCCTTAAACTGAATGTGACATAATTTAATAATTATGGTCATAGATGTAGAAGCGATTGCCGTAATAATTACAATTATGATGGTTATATTAATAATTGATCTAAGAATACATTTAACCACTAAAAGTGGATGAATAATTATTTTACCCATGATAAGTGAATGGATAATTTTACCCCACTAGGAGTGGATGGAAACTTTTACTTACCTGGTGGATAGTTACCTTTACCCACTAGGTAGATAGATACCTTTATCCACTAGAAGTGGATGGACAACTTTATCCACCAGTGGTTGAGTAAAATAACGAACTACTAATGAAAAATCATAAACTTCATTATTCCTTAAAATGAATGCGACATAATTTAATAATTATAATCATAGATATGGAAGAGATTGTCATAATAATTACAATTATGATGGTTACACTAATCATTATTCTAAAAATATACTTAATCACTAGAAGTGGATGGATAATTTTTTTACCCACTAGGAGTGGATGGATATCGTTACCCACCAGAATTGGATGAATACTTTACCTTTACCCACAAAAAATGGATAAGTAGTAAAGAGATATAAGAAAAAGATAAAAATAAATAAAATAAAAAGAATATAGAAAATGACTATCATCGATGTGACATGAAAGGCTATTGTTCTCGTAGGTATTGTATGTTGAAATATCTTGTTGAACTTTATCATGCATTATTGAAAGTTAAAAGAATAAAAAAATATCAAAATAAATTTTGTTCGAAATGATTTTAACTATGGCCAAGTTGATATAACATATCTAGATGTTGTTCTTTTTCTTATCCACCTTAAAGGAGGACGTAACCATATGATTGGTTATTAAAATATAAAAGAATGAAATTTCTTAAATAATTTGTTAGTATGTTTTAGTATAATTTTATTATGAACATGTTTTTATATGTTTTCATTATATTTAAATGATATGTTTTTATTATGTATTTTAATAGTAAATAATATATCTAATGTTATCCTATGTTAACTTGCAAGGTTCTTACTATACATGTATCTTATTTTATTGAAAAAAATATAGATATTCTTTTGAATTGTATTACACAAATATTAGAATGTTTGAAATTAATGTTATAATAAATCAAAAGTTTAATAATGATTTTAATGTTTAGCATAACCGATTAGGTCGTCCTAGATTAATAATGATGTGAAAATTCATGTGATCATCCATTAAAAAATTAAAAGAATTTTCAATATGATAAATTCTCATGTGTTACTTGCTCTCAGGGCAATAAGGCCATCATCAGCTAAACTTGAGAGTGAGGGTCCATTGGTAATAGAAAAATAAGTTATGAGGGGAAAGTTTTTTCTATGTAAAATATTTTATAGAAAAATATAATATTTACGATTGTTTGAATGAACTATTGAAAAATTTTCTATTGTTTAAATCATTTTCTGAAAAAAAATTTCTACCATTACTAGTGGAGTTAGTTGGGTGTTAAAATGATAAATAAGAGTTGATTAAAAAAAAATGGTGTCATTTGGTTCTCACCAATTTCAAATCAAAAGTAAGAATGGAAACGAAAATGGACAAAATAAATTATAATATTTTTCTAAGCATCTAACCACATAACTATAATCAAAGTAAACTCTAATTTTTGAAAAATTTTCCATCTCATTATTTTTTACCATAACACTATAAAAATATCAATATTTATCAATTGAGTAAAACATCCAAAACTTATATTTATAAATGTATATTCATTAAATGATGATTATTGAAATATTTTTTACTATAATTATTAGTAAGATTTATTCAACTTATAAATAAAAATTTTATTTGCATTGGGTGATTTATTAAAAATATATTTTAGTATTTTAATAGTATTGAATAATTTAAATATTAATATTTTAAGTTAAAAATTTTTTAGTTAAATTACTACTAGGTTTAGTATAAGAGTGTTTTTTCAATTCTTCGAAAAATGTCTTACGCTTTTCGAGGGTGTAAGACATTTTACGTGGTCAATTACGTATTTTTCTTGTTGACTTGTAAAATATTTTACATTTAGAATAAATTTATCATCTTCCAAATAAGCATAAGTTTTGAAAACATTTTTCAAAAAATATTTTATGTCAAAAGAAACAAACTTTGAATATCTTACATTGTTGAAATGTAATCAAGGTGATATATGTGGACCCATACATTAACTATATGGATCATTTAAATATTTTATGAATTTAATTGATGTATCAACTAGATGGTCACATATGTGCTTATTATTAACTTGCAATTTGACATTTGCAAGATTACTCACCAAAATTATTTGCTTGTGAGCACATTTTATTGATTATGTAATCAAAACTATTCATCTTGATGATGCTGATAAATTTATATTTTAAGCCTTTAATGAATATTGTATATTAGTTGAAATAATTATTGAATAACCGGTTGCTCATGTTCATACACAAAATAGTTTAGTAGAATCATTTATTAAACACTTTCAACTAATTGTATGGTCATTGTTTATGAAAACTAAACTCCTTATTTTTGTTAGGGGCAAGTTATTTTGCTTATAGCAGCACTTGTACGCATGCCAACAAATTACCATAAATTCTCCTTTATACAATTAGTTTATAGTCAATAACTAAATATTTTTCATCTTAGAAAACTTCATTTGCAAAACGTGAAATTTTTAGACTTGTGGTTTGTACAACAAATGGTGTAAAACCAATGAGAGCCAAACAGGTATTTGTGTGAAAATGAAATGAGAACCATGAGAATGCAAAATATAAAGCACAACTTGCTATACAAGGTTTTACCTAAAGACCTAGTATTGATTATTAAGAGGCTTATTTTCTTATAGTATATGCAATTATATTTCTATATTTAATTAGTTTGGCAATACATGAGAAAATTGAAATGCATCTAATGAATGTAGAGCTCTTTTATATGGTTTAATTGATATCGATATCTATATGAAAACTCTTGAAGAATTTAAGTTGCCTAAAGCACAAAATTTAAATTTTTAAAAAATTTAGTTTGATCAAATTAAATAAATATGGATTAAAAACAATTTGGACACATGCGGTATAATCGTCTTAATTAATATTTGTTGAAAGAAAGCTATAAAATTATCATATTTCCCATGTATTTTTATAAAAAGACTTAGATTTGAATTTATCATAATTATTGTTTACGTTGATGACCTAAATATTATTGAAACTTCTGAAGAGTTATCAAAGGCTGTGGATTATTTAAAGAAAGAATTTAAGATGAAAGACTTTGAAAAAATAAAGTTTTATTTATGTCTTCAAATTGAGCACTTGACAATATTTGAATGAGCCCTGTAGCCAATTGAGATTGGTCAAGGTTTAGTTCCAGACGTGCAATGATATTATTCACATTAAATGATTAGAGATGTTAGTGCAATAAGCTTAATGCAAATAATTCTAAGAGAAGAGTGAATTGGAATGTTTTAAAATTTTAAAAATTCTTTTTCAATTTTGAGAAAATAAAGTTCCTTTAATCCAAATTCTCAATTTAAAAATAAACAAAATAATTGACTTCTTGAAAAATAAATTAGATTGGTAAAAGCAAATGAAACTTGAAAAAGTATGAAGAAAGAAAAATCAACACAAACATTTTTATGGAGATTTGGCCTCTTTGCCTATGTCTTATTTCTTAGATTCACTAAGGAGTTTAAAATCCACTATTGAATCAAAATTCAATACAATACATTTTATGGATCAAGCATAACCTTTTCAATACAATGACTTTTTATGATTAAAGGACAACCACTCAACCTTTTATATTGGTTATGGTGTAACCACTCAAGTAAATACGATAAGAAGAATGTAAATATAGCTGATATGCCTCTTAAAGGCTGAATAAC